TATAAAGAAAATAAATGCCCAGTTTGGTTCCTGAGTAAAAACAAAATCATTTAAAGGTATATGTAAAGTATTTAAATCAGGTAATCCTCTATATTCTACACACTGAAAACATTTATATGTAAACACATATTTACCAGCTAAACTAAAATGTTTCAATTTGTCTATCAATTTTGTCGTTGTAATTTCATCATATTCAATATACCAACTTTTAAACGATAACTTTCTAAATTAATTTTTCCGCGAGGTGGGGTTATTTCAGCGTCACTAAACGTAAACAATGAGTCACGCAAATCATTTTTTAAAGTCATTACAATGTGTATGTCTACACCAAATATAGGCCCATCTATATCATCAAAGAAACCAGGAATTAAATCTCTCATATCAATTGTAGGATAAAACAAACCATCATCCTTAATCAAACCATATTTTTTCTCAGCGATAAAACCACTTGCTTGACCACTTCTTTCGCCTTCGTTTGAAATATTAGCACGCTTTTTCAATGTACTAACATTACCCACATTATAATTATTATCCAACTCAGTATTGAACATTGAAACTTTAATCAAACTCCACATGTACGCAAAATAATTGTTAACTAAAAAGCTAGTTGCAGGATAAGCACGTCCATCTTCCTTTGTAACTCGTATTTCTGGTAAATTTCTCGTTTTGTTTGGTATAAAACCATGTTTATCATTAAATTTTATATGAAAATCATATTCCTTACCATGCCTTTTAATTTCAGGATAAATATATTTGTATTGTAATTTCACAATTTTATTTTGATATTTTTCAAACCAATACTGGATCACCTTTCTTTTGTATTTTCTTTGTATTCATAATGAGTCTATTTCCCCTGAAATAATTTCTCAATTCTATAGGTGCTTCTCCTGCCACAGAATCAAAATAATATATCTGATTTTTATTTCTGAAATAGCAAACCCAATGAAAAAAAAGATTAACAATACCACACTCATTTTTTCTAATTTTCTCAGGTAATTCATTTAAATTTAAATTTAAATAGACGATTCTAAAATTAGGTATTTTAAGTTTTTTTACATATTGTTTTATATCATTGTGCGATAATGAAGTGGACGTGGGCGAGAGGAGCCCTGCGAGATCGAGGTGCAATCGAGACAGACAACCGACAGAGAAAAGACGAGCGACTTGACGACACTGTTTGTTGGCTTAAAATGGACAGACTGTATTTCAACAGATAAATAGTTTACAAATGTTTCGGCGATAAGATTTCTTCTAATCTTAATCGAGTCCTCGCTCCGGCGAGCGACCGGGAGCGTGGCGATAATCTCCGCGAGCGACGGAAATATCGCGAATACCGCAAGCGACGGTAAAACGGCGCGATTCCGCAAGCGACGGAATAAACGGCGCGTTTAATTGCGAGAGATTAATCGCGAGCGACGAGAAATCTCTTTTATTCAAATCGGAAACTTCGCGTTTCGTAAGCGAGAGTACGAATTAGAAAAGCGAGCGACTTTTCTTTCGCGAGAGTTTAACGATATATTCACACACTGTCTCGGATAAATCTCGATCGAGTGCGCCCGGCGGTTCCCCGAGAGAGCTTATATACAACCGTTAGTAGGGTTATAGGGCCGGTTCTAACTCAGGTCCTCCGAAGGTTGGTGAGGGACGGGGGGTCCCGCGCGGGCGAGGGGGCATGACGTCACGCGGGCGGAGGAGGATTTTGGTTGGCGCGGGGGAATGACGTCACGCGGGCGGGGGAGCTTATCGCGGGAGCATAAACAGCGCGGTGTATTACAAAGGGCGAGTGCCGATGTCCGGCTGCTCGAATTTATAAACATTATAAACAAATATCGTCTCGCACTATTGCACGTGCGGCATTATTGAATTTCGTAGAAAGATGATAAGGCGAGCGCCGATGTCCGGCTGCTATAATTTATTATAAACAAAATAGAACCATTGCGGTGGTCTCTTCATTTTTTCCAGGAGCCGCTCGCGCATTATTGCGCGTAATATTAGAATTAGATAATAAGGCGAGCGCCGAGGTCCGGCTGCTAGAATTTATTATTAACAAGATAGAACCATCGCGGTACCATAACGCGATAGATGAAAAATATATAATGAAGAACGAAGGGTGTCAAAAACTCAGTATACGATTTGAAAGCTTGCGATTTGTATATCGGTTGAAAGAGGTACAGCGG